ATTAGCAGTAATTTAAAGAGAGGAATCTGCAAGATTTTAGAGAGAGGGAAATCATTCTGGAGGAAATGATACCTAACTGAACCAGCAAGTCTCGAGGTAGGTCCAGTTGTGGGGAATAAACAGCAGAGTAAGACCCAGTCCCTATGCTCAAAGAACTCGGAGTAGAGTTGTAGAAGGAAGACTCATGGTGATGATATAAGGAAGGACAGTAAAAATCACTTCTTAAGGCTCTAAACACGTATTCTACATGGAAGTGTTGGCAGATTGAGAAACTGAGGCAGCAGAAACTAGGGCCATTCATGGAGGGCCATAGAAATGAAAAGGAAGCCACCTTTGTTCATAAGATTCTTTTTAAAAGTCTTTGATCTTTCTTTGTTTTCCTACTTTTCTGGCTCTACTGTGATTCCTTCTCTTCATTTTTCATTTCTCATTTCCTACTAAAGGAAAACACTTATTCAAAGTCTTTAGAGCATGTGCTGAGAGCAAGGCATTACCCTAGTCCTTGATGGTCATGGTAAGTGGGAATGCACAGAGATTAACAAGAACAGCTAATGAAAACCCTAAACGATGAAAGTTTGAGAGATGTGAACTCCAAATCAAACAGCAGAAGTAATGAAATAATTCAGACTTGGAAAAGGGACTGTCATTCACCGTAGATGGTTTGTTGACTCATTTTTTTCCAGCATTCATTCAGCAACGCTTTCAATCCACAGGATCCTCTCCTCAACGAGCCCACAGTGGAGCCCCGGTCTGGCAGACATAAGCGGCCATTACGACAGTGTGATAAACGAGCATGACACATACACAGGACTTACGAGCCATGTATGCTCACAGGAGAGAATTCAGAAGGCAGAGCTGGTAGCTTTCGAACGGATTGCTAAAATGAAACAGAAGTCTACCAAGTGGAGAAGAAGGAAAGGACATGTTAAAAGGCACCGATAGCAGCTTGGTATGTTTGGAGCAGGTTGGTGTGGGGCACTTGCTCGGAGATGAGGCGTTAAAGTGCACTGTCCACAGAGCGGAAAGGCCTTGAATATCAGACTAACGAGTTTGGCCTTTTTCATGGAAAGAGATCTGAACAGGTGAGGACCACGATTTTCGTGTTGGAAATGTCCCTCTGGTACAGCCTGTTCGGCAGACTAGAATAGGATGGAGAAGAGGGCTCAACTACGTACGCTTACAGCAGCTGTATCTTTGTGCCTGAGAGACTGCACCAGACGGGTAACTAAGCCAAGCTGGGGAGTGGGGGTGGGGAAGTGGAAGGTGAAGGGAGAGTCCGGCGTGAAGGCTACAGGCAGGATAAGGACGTACGCAGTTCTAGGCACGGCGGAGCGGCCGGGGGAGACCCGCCTCCCCTTCCAGATCCCTCTGGGGCGGAGCTCGGGCCAAAGCACGTGACGCCTGGGGACCCACCTTTACTGTGGGCAGACCTCCCGGTCATCCGCGTCGTCCCTTGGATCCCCAAGACTCTGACCCTTTTTCTTAGTGCTCGAGGGATCCGTTCTCTTCCGTGCATCCCTATATACAACTCCTGCAAAGCGTGGTGAGGGGAGAAAAACAGCGAAGGAGACCTTTGCCCACACTAAAGATGGCAACCTGCTGCGCTCTCTCTGGGTGGGGGAGCGGGTTCCAGGAGCCAGGCCTCACTGGGCGAGGCGCAGACGGAAGAGGCGTCTCTCGAGGTATGTTTTCGACCTTCCTAGGAGGGGACCTGAGCCGGGGGCGTGGCCTCGTCTAAATTCTAACAGCTGATTGGTACTTCGACAGGTGGGCGGAGTGCCCTCGATACCCCACCCCTCCCTCTTCGAACCGGAAGTGTCTCTCCGTCTTTCCAGCTGGTTGTCATTTCACTCGGCTCGGTCCTGAGGAGAAGGACTCAGCCGCGGCTGCGGGACCCGGGCACCGGGAGGCGGTGGCGGCGGCGGCGGCGGCATCGGCGACAGCAGAGGAGGAAGAGGAGGAAGAAGGAGAGAAACAGCAGAGCCAGGCGGAGTCCGCAACAACGACAGCTGGGACTGCGGGACCGGGGTAAAGCGACGGCGGCGGCGGCGGCGACGACGACGGCCCAGCAACCGTGAGGAGAAACAAAAGCCTTCTAAATTATAGATTTTTCTAAAATCTGGGGGAAAAAAGAGAGAGAGCACAAAGGGGGGAGGCCCTTCTCTTTTAGAATAACTACACTAGTGGGTTTTCCCTTTTTTTCCTCTTTTTTTCCCCCCTGCGGAGAATCGAACTGAGAGAACTGAACAAACCGCCCCTGGGTCCCATGAGGGAAAAAAACCCCGGAGCCGCAGAGAGGGGAAGAGGCCGAAACCGCAGGACCTTCCAGGTCGCCCCGTTGGTCCCCGCACCCCCGGGCCGCCAGCTCACCCTCCTCGAGTCTCGCTAATCCTTCCTGATCGCGATCCCCTCAAGAGGGAGAAACGGGTGTTTTCAACCCATTTCATGGGGGAGAGGAGGCCGGGGGGAGCCCAGGAACAGCGACCTCAGCAAGATCTGCACCCAAAGCCTCAGGAACAGCCCCAGAGGCCAAAACTGCACCCCGCGAAAGAGCAGAAACAGGACCAGGAACAGCAGAAACCTCCCTGCAATCATCTTTCCATTAGTCAATGCTGATTTCCTCTCCCGCAACCAGGAATTCACCTCCCACCCCAGATAACCTAATATAATCTATATATATAAATATATAATATATAATGTTCTTAAATTATTCCTGATTTTTTTTAACCAAGCTGCCAAGAAAAGAACGTATTCTCCTCTTAGCCCTATTCTAATTTTTATGTGAGTGAATCTAAACTGCTGAGGAAGACCATATGTGATTGTTAAATTATATATATATATATATATTTTTACTCCGCGCAATGCTTATTCTTCTACATCCATAGATGCTTGAGAAGCTGTGTTTTTGTCATTCATGTACATTTTCCTTTGGAAAAAGAAAGCGCCTATTTTACTAACCAAAGACTTGATTTTTACCCTCTTCGTTTTTATTCCCTCCTAGAAATAAGCCCAGTTGGATTCATGTCAATGTTTTAAGAGATTTTTTTTTAGTTTTTTTTTTCTTTCAGAGACCAGAATTCCAAATCAGAACTATTTCAAGTGATAAGCTGCGATCTTTGAGCTAGCTATAAATAAGACATTTCAAACAAACAACTTAAATTTTGGGTAGAGGCTACAAAGACGTGAGACATTAGGTTGTCATTTTTTATCGTAAGAATCTGATCCTAAAAATAATAAATGGGGGATTACGGGTTTGGAGTGCTAGTGCAAAGCAATACTGGGAATAAATCTGCTTTTCCAGTCAGATTCCATCCACATCTGCAGCCTCCACACCATCACCAAAATGCCACCCCCAGCCCTGCAGCTTTTATAAATAATAACACAGCTGCCAATGGCAGCAGTGCCGGGTCAGCTTGGCTCTTTCCTGCTCCCGCTACCCATAACATTCAGGATGAGATCTTGGGGTCAGAGAAAGCAAAAAGTCAGCAACAGGAACAGCAAGACCCTTTAGAAAAGCAGCAACTCTCACCCAGTCCAGGTCAGGAAGCTGGAATACTGCCTGAACCTGAGAAGGCAAAATCAGAAGAAAATCAAGGGGACAATTCTTCAGAAAATGGCAATGGCAAGGAGAAAATAAGAATCGAGTCACCAGTGTTGACAGGGTTTGATTATCAGGAAGCCACGGGGCTAGGTACTTCGACCCAACCCTTGACGTCTAGTGCTTCGTCTCTTACTGGTTTCAGTAACTGGTCAGCAGCGATAGCACCTTCTTCCTCTACAATCATCAATGAAGATGCAAGTTTCTTTCACCAGGGAGGGGTCCCGGCTGCTTCGGCTAATAACGGTGCTCTGTTGTTTCAAAATTTTCCCCATCATGTCAGCCCTGGCTTTGGAGGCAGCTTCTCCCCTCAGATCGGGCCTCTCTCACAGCACCACCCTCATCACCCTCATTTCCAGCATCATCACAGCCAGCATCAGCAGCAGAGGAGGTCTCCTGCCAGTCCCCATCCCCCACCTTTCACACATAGAAATGCTGCTTTTAACCAGCTGCCTCATTTGGCAAATAATCTTAACAAACCCCCCTCTCCATGGAGCAGCTACCAGAGTCCCTCTCCTACACCATCTTCTTCGTGGAGCCCGGGAGGTGGTGGATATGGGGGCTGGGGAGGTTCCCAAGGCCGAGATCACCGCAGAGGGCTGAATGGAGGAATAACGCCCCTGAATTCCATCTCGCCGCTGAAGAAAAATTTTGCAAGCAATCATATTCAGCTGCAGAAGTACGCTCGCCCCAGCTCTGCCTTTGCTCCTAAATCCTGGATGGAAGATAGCTTGAACAGGGCTGACAACATTTTTCCTTTTCCGGTAAGATTATGTTCCATTAATAGATTAAGATGAACAAGGAAGTCGCATGGTGTAATATCTATTTAACTAAGAGAGTTTGAATGGTCTATGTACATAGCAGAACTCTTCTTAGAAAATGAATTAATTACCAGACGTTATTTTGGCAGGACAGGAGTATGATTTGGAATAAAATATTCAGCTGTTTCTTTGATAAATTTCTAATTGTAATCTTCTCCACAGATAATAGTGTGAATTGGCATAATTATGAATACCAGGTAGCTAGAGATGTTGTAATTATTAACTATAATAGCTTTCTAGCCGGACAGGATCATCAGGGTTGGTTTTTCCCTACCTTTTTAGGTGAGAATAAATAATAGATAAAGTATACTTCATTGTGGAAACTGATGATCATTTTCTGCCCAGATGAAGTAACTGTATAACAAAAAAATTCATTTTTTTTCCCTCCACTGTAGGCTAGTGATTCACTGAAAACCAACTATTGAATTGTAGTTTTCTCACTGATTGCACTTTAAACCTGGAACCTCTCTGAACCTTGCAGTCTGAATTCATCAATTCAGCAATTCCACTTAAACCTCTTTGCAAATTCCGGCCTGCCCTGTGTCAGAAAGGACTGCTACAGAAATGATCTAAATGTTTTCTTCATCCCCTTTTATTTTCAAATACTATGGAATTGTTGATCTCAGAGTGACTCTTTTATGATGCCTTTCATCCATTTGTTTATTTTCCAGTGTTAACACTAGGGGTGTAGATAAGCCATTCCTAAAAATAGATCCCAGGCAAAGATCACTTGTCTTTCTTGCCACCAGTGTTTCCTTATTCTGCAAGAGTCACATGGTTTGATGTTTTTGAATTAATGAGCAGCCATTCTAGTTGATAGAAATGAGATAAAGAGAATTTCATAGTTAATTGAACATCAGATGCCCCACTGAGTTTGTATATTTGAGAGTATGATTGTTTATATGTGTTTGGGAAATTTATATGGGATAATAAGCTAACATTGAATCAGTCCTCACAGTGACCCTTCAAGGTAAGTTTTGTTATTATCCCCATTCTGTGGATGAGAAAATTGAGCATCAGAAAGCTATAACTTGCCCAAAAGTGCACAGCTAATAAGAGTACAAACCCTAGGTTGAAAAAACAAGGATTAAAATATCTATCTGTAGGCACGTATACATGTGTATACATGTGTATACAAATACACATGTACCACAGATAGAGGGTTATTTTAGAGATGTTTCTGCAAGGGCTAAGACACATTACGAAACAGTTGCAATGTCCCCAGATATGATGTCAGCACAAAGCAGAACTATCTGTTTTGATTAATAATTTGCTTAGTGGGAGGGCAAGTTTGCTAAGAGAATCCTATGTCATTCCAAGGAATTAAATGTCCCTTCCCTCAAGGTTTCAGGTGGAATAGTTAGGATGTATCATAAAATATTTGATTAAGTTTAGTTTTAGATATTTAAAAATAATTTTTGCCTGAGTATTAAAAAGCTGTTGGCTTTTTGTTTTAAAAAGGGTCTTTACTCAAACTGAAGAGCAATTATCTTGCGTTAGTGGCTAGGTAAAAGGCTTTTAGACATTGGTGATTTCATGAAGTCTATTTTTTAAAAAGTTGCTTTTAATATTTGAACATAAATTTAAAGAAAATTTAGTGCAAAGGTGACTTTTTTGAATTAGTCATATGTTGCCAATTTTTAAATCTAAGGTGGCATTCTGTACATTTTAACTGGATTAAGATTGGTTTAGAATTGAATACACTTTTTTTATTTTGTTAGAGTACACTGACAGAACGAACTTACAGGACTGAGCATATATGACCTCATGGTTTATTTTACTTTTGATGAAAGTTTGCTTTGGGAAAAATAAAAATTTCAGGAAATGAATAAACTATATACATGCATATTATCAGTATTTTGGGGGACTAATGAAATCTTTTGGATCAGTTGGAGATTAAGCTGGTTTATGGAATAATAAAATTAACTAAGCTTGACACTAAAAAATAGTGTTAGAAACTAAACTCTTCCCTTAGAATTGTTGTCTATCATGCTGAGGATGGAAAAGGATGAGTCCATATACCTGGCTGAAATATGGTGGGATGAGAAAGTAAATGGTTGATTTCTGCTCATCACTCCCTACCATTTTTAGGAACGGGAGGAGGGTTCAGGGGGCCAGGAACAAATGTGGGGGTGATTTGAAAGTCACAGTAGTGTTTTGGGTTTTGAAAAAAAAAGCACAAGAAGTTAGTAAACTGAGTACTGTATGCTTACTTAAATGAATGTAGTTCTCTCTGTGTGTGTGTGTTTGTGTGTTTTAACAGTTCTCTTTTGAATTGGTTTTTTGGCAAAAAGAAAAAATACAATTTTGGATTGGTTTGAATTACTTGGTTAGATTTGATATGAAAAACTTGAAGGAATATTTATTTGACTGGGAGCCTGGAGACCTAGGTGTGCTGTTGGCCCTATCAGTATAGCATTTGGGGACCTCAGTTTCTCCATAAACTGTGGGGGGTGGGGGGTGACAGAGGTGATGTCTAAGTTCCTTATGGTCCTGATGTGAGCTGTTGTGGAATTGAAATTGCTGCAACCACAACCATACTCTTTCTGAACCGCTGCCATCTTATTTAAATGTATTACCCTAAGCACTATTAATTTTAGGAAAGAAATTTTACAGATATTAGTAATTCAGTTTTAATGGCTATTGTTAAGAATTCCTTAGGTGTTATAGAGAGCTCTGGAAATATATCACAGAAATGACAGAATCCAGCTTACATGATTACATTATAATCTTAGTATTATTGAAAGGAAAGAATTTACCTGATATGTAACTAATATTGGACAATGTTTGTTTTATTTTAAAATTAATCAGAATGGATTTTACATTTGTTAATGCAGATTTGGGTACATATAGTGAATTAAAATTAATTATAACATTTTTAGTTTGTTTTGTTGTCCAGTCTTAACATTCTCTTTTATCTATGCTTGTGGAGCAAAAACAGATTTCAAATATATGACTAGTCCTCTAAATAATTGATACGGCAAGGCAATGTATTTTGGAAATATTTTTTATATTTAAAAAAAGGTATTTTTCTAGTTTTTTTTCTTTTTTTTTGCTTGCTTAAAGCTTTCATTATATGAACTCAAATGACATGCCTCAAATCCTGTCTTCAGATACAACTAAATGAATATACATTGACTAATAACTAACATGCTTACAGTTTCTAAATGTTTTATATTTATTAACTCATTTAATTTATCCAACAATCCTATGAGGCAAAAGTTATTATTACTATTCATATACAAGTCTTGGCTTTCAACCAATATACTACAGTGCCTCTTCACATAAACATAGTATAGGTGTGTAGGGGGGAGGAGGGAACACCTCCCAGAAACAAGATGAGAGGAAAAATTTTGTGGTTTGAATGATTGATGCATGATAATCAAAAGATGATTATAGACTTGAAAATGGAAAAGAATAGAAAATAATAGAATATACCTATCAACTTTAAAATGCTAAACTTAGATAATATTCAAGTAAAAAAAAATTTTTTGTGTATTTTTAGTGTATACCAGGCACTGAACTAGGTACTTTCACATGTTATCTTATATCCTATGAGGTTCGATTTTATTGTCCCAATTTAAGAAACAAGGTCGATATTCATGTGACTAAAGGCATGATTTGACCCTTATATTACGGAGACAAAAATCCTCCATGTCCTGCCAAACACATCCTGGAATTCCAATGTCCAAACCAGATAATACATTGGAGCACTTGCCAGTAATTTTATTTGACTACAGCACCTCTTTGGAGGGGTGCCTAGATCTTCTGTCCTTACAGGAAAGTAAAGGAGAACTGTGTAGCATATATTCTGATAGTCTCTTATCTTCAGCTCAGTTATGCTCACACCTCCATTAGGTAAAAACCAGGAAGTAGGCAAAAAAATAAAAAATGAAAAATAAAAAGGAAGAGAGTGGACAGAATCTTTCACAAGGACCAACCTAAAACTTAATAGGGAGACATTTTAGGATTTAGAGCCCATTTGCTCTTACTTTAGACACAGTTACTGTGGATTTGTTGAGTTGCCTTAACCAGGCAAATAATTCATGTCACTTTAATAACTCTGCTTATGTTGTCAGTTTATTGATCCTTCAAATTATATATGGCATCTTGTATTTGAAAACAGTTACTGCATTGCTTCAGTTCTGAAAGTCATGGTGAATTATTACAATTGTCTTAACTGTAACCTTGTTACACTTTTTGTTTTTTAATAATAGTCCCAGGAGGGATCTTTGTATGGGAAACGTTTTCTTTGACTTTGTATTTATTTATATTAGAAGAACGGAGATTAATTTCTTTACGATAAAGTATGGGTTGGATGGTTTTGGCTCCAGCAGAACGGAGATATTGGAAAAACTTTGGGAAAGCATACCAGATACAATTTTATGCCTTTTTGTAGAAAGCCTTTGAACTAGGTTTAATTGCTTTTCTGATGGAATCAAAACTTGGGCAGGGTGGAGTTTTTTTATTACTTTTTGTTGTCTTCACAGAAGCCATGGAATATGATCAACACATTGTTCCACATCTTTCAGGAAAAACCTATTTATAGCAAGCTTAGTGAGCGTGGTTGTTGCTAGTTGCAACTAGAAAGATGCTCTTAGTTCATGGGTTTACGCTTTTGAGAATAATCCTTGTATTCATGAGAAAGAAGTGGAAAAGTAATCTTAAAGTTAATGTATGCCTAGTTTAAATTTTACAGCCTATATTTATTTTTTTATGACTTTATCTTGCTATCAGGAAAATTAGCTTGAAGATCCATTATCACATTTTTTCAGCACTACATTGTATCTCAGTTTTTGGTCCCATCACAAATAAGATAATATATATAATGCATTTCTCTTTAAGGCAGGGCGCCCATAACATGAGTATTTGTTTTAATATTTTCTTTTAAAAAAAATATTTTATTTATTTATTTGACAGACAGAGATCACAAGTAGGAAGAGAGGCAGGCAGAGAGAGAGGAGGAAGCAGACTCCCCACTGAGCAGAGATCTTGATGTGGGGCTCCATTCCAGGACCCTGGGATAATGACCTGAGCTGAAGGCAGAGGCTTTAACCCACTGAGCCACCCAGGCGCCCCTGTTTTAATATTTACTGACAAACTCATTTTATATTTAATTGTACAAAGAAAATTCCTCTTGCAGAACTTAAAGTGTATTTTTACCATGATAAATCTATGGCAATATGTAATTTTTTTACTTCAAATTTAGTATAGTTTCTCATCCCATTTTATATTATTGAAACAAAAGGAGTTCTACTTTCAGGTTTTCAGAAAATTCTTAGTAGGTAGAATAATAAAAGTGTTATTTTTAATCAGTTTCTGAAGGTGAGACTTGAATAATTACTGAGATAGGCTATTTTATGAGGCCAAACATGTAGTAGAGTGAAGCATAACTTCTGGATCCAAGTAGACTGAGTTTGACTCGCACTCTAATTAGCTGTGTGACCTTGAACAAATTGCTTAAATTCAGGAAGAAAACCTCATCAGGATTTTAATACCCAGTAGTGAAGGGTTTTTGTGAGTACCTTAAGTGACCATAGTAGGTAGCTTAATTATTTTTTTTAATTTAAAATATGGCTCTCTAAAATTTATAAAATAATGAAATTAATTACAAATAGAGTATCTATTTTTGAACAGTCCTTTGTATTGCTTATTTTATTATACATGCTTTACTTCTTAGAGTACTCCTTTTGAATAAACTAGATGCAGCTTAGGACAGATAAAACATTTAGCCAAATTATCGGTTTTCTTGAGAAGTTTTATAATTGTATATATCTAAACTTTCATTAGTATTGGCAGACCACATCATTCAGTATTTTGAAAGATTTTGCCTATGGTTATTTTAAGAAATTTAGAACATTTGATTGTTTTTGCATTCTTCTTACATTAAAGGAGACTATTTCAAAGGAGAATTTGTGATCTTTTTTTTTTTTTTGGATAAGAGATAGGAAAGGGTACCATATATTTGAATTGAGTATATTTTATCTTTTATCCTGGATTTCAGTTTTGCTTTTTATATTTTAATTAACTTATTTAGTACACTATTTATTAAACACCTCCTATTTATGGACTAGGGACAAGGCTAGATATCTCATAAAAGTTGTTTTGGTTTGATTTATAATGTATTTCTGACCTGTGCTAATCCCTGAATGATACTAAACATACTTTTTTCTCATTATAAACAAATTAGCAACTGAGAGTTTTGTGTCATTTTAATCCAGCAGCTGTTACAAACTTTAAGGCAAATTAACAGATCCCACTTTAGGTACAACAAAAACAATGTGGTATTTTCAAATATTTTATTAATGGTCACATTTATAAATGTATTACTTGTACACTTATATGCAGCATGTGCTTATTTAAGTTTTGTGGCAAAATGGTAACAAAAGGCAAACTTTAACCTATGGGAGTGGAGTTCGGGTCTCATTACATGTCAAGGAAGAAATTCCATCAGCCACTCACAGGTCCTCTCTCATGTTTGCAAACTGAATTATTAAAGTTCAAAGTCTTAAGCTGTACAAGTACTTTTCATATTGTAGAGTATTTAGGTTGGGCAATTTTTGTTTGCTGAGTATTTACCAGAAATATCCTAATCATTATTTTTTTATACATCTAAACTAAATGATAGTTAATCCTCCAGGATTATACATTCTAAAGCCATACTTATATTTAAATATTATATAACATACTTTTAATAGTAGTCCTTCCAGGTGTTTTTGAGGAATGCATCTAGTGCTAGTCAGTGAAGTAGTTGTCATCTTAATCTGTAAGAACCTTAACAAAAAATAAGTCAGCATAAGAATGTTGCTATTCAGAAAAATCTCCTAATTGTAGTATGGAAGTCAGATCTGGGTTCCAAATATGGGTCCTCCACTTACTAACTATAAGACCTGGGGCAAGCAGCCTTCCTGGTCCTTAATTTTCTCCTTTGTTTTGACTGGTTATCAAATAGAAATATTAATTAAAAATCTTGAAAATAGCACATATTCTTAAAATATGAAATGTGAAATATGGTATAATTTGTGTGTGTTAATTTGAGCTTAATTTTAAAGAAGAATTTCATAAACCAAACTATGATTCCTTAAAATAAATTCACTGTATGTAAATAATAGCGGGAATCAAGCTAGATGATGTCCTTATTCTCTTGAACACTGCTAAAAAATTTAGTGACCAACTGTTTTTTGTTTGTTTTTTTTTTTTCTTTTTTCTCTTTATATTCCCTGTCTCTATTTTGGTAAAGTGTTTAACCTCATGTCTTTTACTTTTTTATTAGGGAAAAATTTAAGCATATTCAGTAATAGACAAAATAGTATAACAGCCCCCCATGTGCATGTCATCTGGCTTCAGTAATGACCGACTCCTGGACAAACTCCTCTATCTTCTTCCTAACCTTCTCCCCTTGCTTGTTATTTTCAAGCAATTCCCAGATACTGTATCATTCCAATGTAAGTGCTTTAGTATGTGTCTCTAAAAGATTAGGAGTCTTCCCCACCCCCCCGTAAAAACAACTACAGAGAAATTTCCTAGTGGTTTTTAAGAAAAGATAGTGAGAAACTGAAGCAAGGCCCACACTTCTGTTACACTTGCTCAGCTTGTTTCCCCACTCAAACTGGTACTAATCTCTAAGGAAATCGCTGCTGGCCTCATCTCCTCCCTTCTGGGCAGAGAAGTATGCTGGTGGTCACATGGCCATAAAAAAAATAAGGGAGGGGTGAGAAATCCATCAAAAGTGACAAAACATCAATTGGTGGCTGAAAATTTGGGAGGAGAGTCTCCAGTTTTCCTTTCTCCAGCTTATTCTTACCTTTTTAGCCCAGGTTTGGACTCCCATGGACTTGTGGGAAGGTTCTCTGAAAGGAGAGTGATTAAGACAGGACTGGGAGCTCTTTGGTTGTGTTTTTGTTTGTTTGTCTGCTTTTATTTTTAAAGAGGAATTTCGAGGTTTGGGGCCTTTTGCTGGCCTTTGCACTGCATCAAATTTTTTAACCTCTTGCTCTCTTTGAATCTACAAATGTTTGATACTTTCAGTGGACCATATGCTGGCAACACATGACCAAGGCGAGCATGCTCCTTTTCCTCGTGACGTGTATAGTCTGGTGATCTCTTTGTACCTGGGTGTTTAGAAGTGCCTTCTACTCGGGGAAACTCTGGAGAGCTAAGGATATGGGGGTGGGAATTGTGAGAGCCCAGAAAGGCTGATACTGCCTATAGGCTACTTTTTGACTTTGCTCGCGGGCTCGCAAGAGAGATTTCATTGATTACAGGACACAAGCCTCGGCTTAGAAATAAAGATTGTGCTTTTGGGTGACCATTTTCTTTGCTGATTCTGGACCCTGATCAGGCCCAGCAGACATGGAGCAGAGAGGAACTCTAAAAGCCAGTAAGCAGCCAAAGATGGAGGAAGGGTCAGAAGGGTCTAAATGACTTCATTCCTTAGGGTTGAGTGTTAGTAATATTTAAGTATTTTCCTGAAACTAGTGAATTCTTGGCCCTGAGTAGCTTATTAATATTTTTTCTATTTCATTTTCCTATGAAAATGGGCTATAGGAAATAGCACAGAACAGCTGAATTATTCAGATATAACAATATCTAATTTCATATGTTAATTTCAGGCTCTTTTGCCATTTCACCAGAGAGAAGGGGCAGAAGGAATGTTTATTGAGTGGGTCTGCTAAGTGCTGCACATTTGTGCAACTGTCAGATACCTTATCTCATTTCTCCTCACCAGCTTTATAAGGTCTCCTCATTTTGTTGATGTAACCAAGGTTCAGAGATGCTGTGGTGTCAAGATCACTTGTCTAGTAAGTGGTAATTTAAACTCGGGTCTTGGAATAGAGTAGTTTTTTATTGTTCTTTTGTTTTGTTTTTTTTGTTTTGTTTTGTTTTGTTTTTAGAGAGAGAGCGTGAGAGTCCATGTTGGGGAGGACAGAGGGAAAGGGTTGTATTCATTTATTCTACTGGGTGTAAGAGCTTGATGTGGGGCTTGATCTCATGACTGTGAGATCATAACCTGAGATGTTATCAAGAGTTGGATGCTTAACCAATGGAGCCACCCAGGTATCCTTTGGAATAGAATAGATTTTAATTATTTCTTTCTGCCAGGCAAGGTGAGAATCCACACATAGTCAAGAGAAGAAGCAGTCTGTTGATCCAGGAACTGACTGATCAAGTCTGGAATGGCAGTTTGTTTTTTAAATTCAGTTAAGTGGTGATAAGAAATGTTTACCATTTTAAGGATTTCTCATGCTCAAAATGAGTATGGTTTATTTAATAAAGGTGGAATTAAAGAAAGTTTCCTCAGAGGCTTTCTGAAGAGATCTGATTCATCAGTTCACATGGGAGCAAATGGACCTGTTCCTTCAATCAGGGTAGTAACACCAAAGACATTAATTTTTTAGTTATAGTTTTTTATAGGGAGCATTTGGTAGCCTGTAGGATTCTGCCGTCACTATTAAGCCATCATAATGAGAAAGTACTGACTGAAGATGATTAGTGTAGATGATTACATCTTTGACTTTAACCTCTGACTCTCTTTCTCAACATTCAGGTTCTCTGCATAGTGAAGGATGTCATACCTGCCAGATGTTTGTTTATACATTGATATTTCTAGGTCCTCATGAGGCTTATGAAATGAGCCACTTTTCTGAGCTTCTGCTCTGAGGTCAGACTCCTCCACTTACTATATGACTTTGAGAGTTATTAGTTAACTTCTCATAGCATTATTTGCCTAAAACGGGGATGATACTTAATATACACATTACGTGATGGTTGTGAGGAATGAATGTATGTAAATCGTACATAATTCATATAAGATGCCCAACATGGAACCAGGAAGAACATGTTAGCCACTCTTTAATAATGGTGGTGTTGATGATGATAGACTACAGCATGCTACACCTATGCTACAGTCTGTGGCTATGGAGAGATGATGTGAGTGGTGCTTACAGCCTGCCGGGGGGATAGTTATAAGGGAACCTGTCAACATCATATGGAATGGCATTATGCTAGTGGGGTGGGGGAAAAGGGACTTGGGCCTGCACCAGGATGTAAGGGTCATCTGGAAGTGGAATCATGAAGGTTGACTATGTAGTCAATTTTTGATGCCTGTGGGCTTAATGTTTAATCCAAGAAGAATAATTATGTTTTGGCAAATCTCAGATTAAAACTCCCATTGTACCTTTGATTAATTATGGGCTCACTGGTGCTTCAAACTTCCTGTTTATTTTGGCAGCTGACATACTGGCATATACTTTCCTTTCAAACCAAAATATTTTCTTTTCCCTTCTTCACTAGGGAAACTTTAAGCCAAGAAGAGAAACCTCATTGGCTGATACAGATACGTAGTTGTCTGGGAAATGACAATCATAGTAGTGTCTGTCTATATAGGGAGAGAGTGAGTAAAGGGAGTAGCTGACTTTTGGCTTTGGTTCTTAATAATGTGGTTACATTCAGTTAAATACTTTTTGTGTTTTAGACCCAGTCTAGTGATGTGAAAACATACTAACTCAAATATAAAAAGACAAGACCAGTAATAGAGTGGTCATGGTGGTTCATCTGTTGAAATTGATCTTGATTATAATCTTTTTCCAAGTTAGGCATCTCAGAGCTTGGAGAAGGTTTTTTTGGGGGTCTTTTTTGGGGGGTCTGAGAGCAAAGGCTGCCTCTTCATGCAGAAACCTTAAAATGGTTGATGTAGAATATTTAAACTGGACTGTATCATGGCCAGTCCACTATAAGTCACAATGCAACGTATCTAAGGAAATTAACCTGTTGAATATAATTGCTTAACTCAGTGCTTCTCAAAGTGTGGTCCCTGGCATCACTTAGAAACTTATTAGAAGTGTGAATTCTTAGACCCTACCCAGAACTATGATTGAGACACTTTATGGGTAACCTGTGATTTGATAAGATCTCCAGATGATTCTGATATGCTCCCAAATATGAGAAACATTGGCTTAGAGTAGCCATCTGAGTGTTTAAAAAAAAAAAAAAAAGCCACGAATGATGATTTTGGTTTGTGGTATAATTGCAGTGTAGTTGTTCTTCCTGTTGGTAATAGACCAACAGGTTCACGTGTTTATTTTGGCTACTTCTGGAATGTTATGCAAAGTCATGTAATCAGTTATTTGCTGATGTAAGTCTTCCTATTTTGCCATGGCAGTCAGGATCACTCAGGTGTAAATTAAAAGGATGGGTCCTGATTTTTGAAATACTAATTTGTTTTATAAGAACATTATTTTTTCCCCAACTTTGATTTTTACATTGATTTGTATGGTTTTTCCCTTGGAAATTGTCCTGTAGAGATGACAGAAACCAAAGCCAACCAGTTACTAACACACAAGTCAATATATTAAATACAACAATTAAGATTACAAAATAAAATGATGTCTAAGTATGGTAATCAAGTTTGCCTTGCTGAGCCTTGAAGATAATTGGTGCTCTTCTATTTTCATTCATAATTAATAAGCTCACATGTTGTAGAGTCAGAAGGCCTAGGTTCAAATTCTGCCTCTCCACTTACTTTGCAATGATAGAGTTGTCTAATGACTCTCAACCTCCATTTCTTCATCTGTGAAATGGAATAACTGCTGAACATACCTAATTGTGTAGGATTTTTGTGAAGAATTAATAAGATCCCACATGGAAAGCATTAGATCTTGATAAGGGTCAGCTGCTGTTATTATGAGGATTAGTACTATTTCTACCACTTCTACTTCTGTGGTTGGCAGCTTTCTAATTTGCGCACCATGTCTCTTTGTCACCTCAATGGGAAGAAGGAAGGTAAGACTTCTTATCTTTTTAGTACCTCTGATATTATTCCTGTATTCTTCTTTTTTTTTTTTTTTAAAAAGATTTTATTTATTTGTTTGACAGAGAGATAGAGACAGTGAGAGAGGGAACACAAGCAGGGGGAGTGGGAGATGGAGAAGTAGGCTTCCTGCTGAGTAGGAAGCCCGATGTGGGGCTCGATCCCAGGACCCTGGGAACATGGCCCGAGCTGAAGGCAGACACTTTAACGACTGAGCCACCTGGGCGCCCCCCTGTATTATTCTTATACATACATTTTGTTCTTCTTTTGATTTATTGAGAAATACTTGAGTGCCTCCTGTTTGCTGGGCACTTGCCAGCGTGTTCCTGCTCCCGGAACCTTTACAGCAGAATGTCTTATTCATTCAAATGTATGCCTTAATTAGTGTGGTCCTTTGACTCCCATGACCATTACCTTACCCAAGGAATTATCGCCTGCTTTGGAGGGAGACTTAGGCTTGAATCCTGACTAAGCTGCTGAACTATGCAGTAACCTGTCTCTGCAGTAATTACAGAATTTTTCTTGGTCTTAGTTTTAATCATTAAAGCAGGAATAATGCCATCTAACTTATAAAGAGGTATTTAGACAGTATTAATAAAGTACCTAAAATAATGTCAGATTTCTTAGTAGATGCTCAATAAAAGGTAGTTCTGTTTTTCTACCTTTTCTCCCTTTAGGCTGCCAAGAGAAACTGGCTGGTGGTGGGTTGAAGCAAATTTGGTTGCTGGTGTTTTTTTGTTTCATGATAGATTCTTTGCCCTATTATCTTAAATCAGGACATCCCACATCAACCAATTGTTTTAAGTAAATTTTTTAAATTAAAAATCTTGTTATTTTGCATTGTGTATAGCGTAAGAAGATGCAGCAACTGTCCTAAGTCGCTAAGGGTTCATTTTCTTATTAACATTATTGGCCCTCACCTGTTTGTGGGCACAAAGGGCACAAAATGATGAGTTTTCATTAGTCATTCTCCTTTACGCTTTGCTTCCTGTCATACTCATCACCATAATTTAAACCAAATCTTGGAAGAGCACAAGCTAAGGATGTCGGAAAGCTAGAATACAAATATATTTTGGACTTAGGAAAAGGAATTAGAGGTCTAATAAAACTCTTCCCTTTTTCAGATCAGTAAAGAGGTCTAGAAGATGAAAGGGCCCAAGCTCACATGACACATCAGTGGTGGAGTTGGGGCTTCTAGTGTCTAATGCTCATTCTTCTGATTTACGCTGATATTCATATTTTGGTTATCAGCTCACAGTCAATCAAGAAGAGTTGTCACTTAGCAAGGTTTCTATTTTATAGTTAGTTTACTTTCTGGGAAATGGATCCAAGAAAATAGATAAGTGGTTATGATATTTGGCCCAATTAGCAATCAAAAGGGTAAAATCAAAGAATGAAATATGGAAACCAAAGCCCTCTTGATTTGATACTTTATCGGGTAGAAAACCAACATTGTTTGTGCTGCTGTTCTTATTCCTTGGGTTTATTTATTTGGATCTACTCCACCTACTTCCTGGTGGCACACTTACATTTTAGATTTTTGTTTTTGTTTTTAATTAGGGGTTAAAAGTAGATGGAGAAGATCAGTGAGAGGATAGTGAGAAGGATAACTTTAGACCCTCTCTGAGAATAGAATGTTTACTTGACAAAATATGTGGCTTTTGAACTCTTTGAATTGCGAAAGCATCATAAGAAGTAAAATGTTATACAAGTGTAGTCATTTATAATGATTATAATAAGTTTGGACTGTGGGAAAGAATACAGATTAGGCAAGGGTTGGCAAGAATGTGGTAACTGTGCCATTGGGTCCTGTACCTTGCACTTAAATCATTAGCAATCTGTCCAGACACTGTTCCCTTCTGAATCCATACCAAGCCTGAAAATCCTTCCCAACACATTGCATCTGAGGGGCGATACCAGTTGATGAGAGTTTGTATATTGGTGTTTATTTGTCACTCTTGTATTAAATCATGACAAAGTGTAAAAAGGATAGAGGGTTTGTTTTTAATCCCATAAAGCATTACTTGAATATTTAAAAATTTCATTAAGGATTTTAATTTTAATATATTCCACCAATTAGAAGTCAGGGGTTATCTTAGCAAAAATCTTCTGTTTCAGGCAGTATGTGGTAGCTGGGGAGGAGGTAACGAAGTTGCTTTGCTAAAATTCCAGTACCACATTTAGAAACGTACAGGTAAAAAAGTAACTTCTTTAATGGACACAGCTGTCATAAACCAAAACATACTGTGTAATATTCTTTATCAGCTGCTTCTCTTCAGTATTCTTGTTATTTAGTGATTGCCAAATGCAAGTTCTGGAAATTCACAAGGTTGCTTAATGCTTTAGTTGCATTAAAAAAAAAAAAAAAAAGCTGAGTACCCCCTGCCCCACTGCCCATTATAGTTATTTTGGCAGAAGAAAACCTACAACTCTATGGCAGGAAAGGGAAAATGTAAAAACAAACCTTAAAGAAGCAGAAGGAAAGAAATGTTTTAAACATTTAAAAATTACTTGAAGGAATTCACTTATTCATTGCTTTAGCAAACACATGTGCCTTCTACCTGTCAGGTCCTGTGTGAGGCACAGTGTTACAGAAATGTAGGACAAGGCTTCTCAACCTGTGTCACCTCATGGCACACCTAGAAAACATAATACTGAAGCAGAAATCATCTGCTAGAGAGTTCCTGCCCTAGCTGTCAATCCTGTGGGCTTAGGAAATTGATATCTTGGCATATTGTCACCCTTTGGATTTGTATACATTGAGAACATTTGATGTAAGACATAACTTCCTACTCTTGGGAAACTGGCTAAAGATATGAGCAAGTTACTAGATACTGAGAATTATTGCCTCCAAGATAGGTTTTGTACTGGAGATAGTAGAGACAGTGGCTGGCCGGGTTATGGGTGTGGTTCATAGATTTCAGAACAGAGGACAAATCTAGTAACTGTAGAATGAGATAGTGGAATTTTAAATTAACTTCTTTCTCAGATTTTGCCTCAAATCCACTTTGCTTCCAAAAGAATATGCAATACAAGTTTTGAGTTAATTCAGTGCATAAGATGAAGAAGGATAAGAAAAACAGAACAGTGTTTTCCTCTTTGTGAACACTAACCTTTAAAAAAATTCTGATTCTGACCATGTGTCCTCCTGCTTCTCTCTTGACCATGTTGAGTAGATGAAGATGATGAGGAAAGAATCAAGAAAAAAAAAATGGGAAAGATGTTCTGGAGGGAGTCATACCAGTTCAGAGCAGAATAGCATGTTAAGGCACCTGCTCCCCATCCCCATCTTCATCTTCTCCATACCACTTCCGCCCCAGGAAAAATCCTGTAATACTCTCTTTAAATTATTGGATTATATCCAAATATAACTATCTTTGGACTCCTAAAGTTGCAGGGGTAAAAAAAAAAACAACTGGTATCCTATAATAATTCATTCAGTGAACACTGATTATCTACACGGTGGGGTGGGGTCAGGAGACGTGATCCCTGTTTCATGGGATAAGACAAATAGTGTTATGGAAGGACAGAAGAGAAATGTCAGGTTGATCACAAAATGCTCTCTGGTGGAGAGCATGCTCTATCAGCCTTAAGGCTCTAGAAATTAGCTAGGAAAGAGGGAATCATTCCAAGTTTAAAAAAAGGGGAGGGGGATAAAATCAGGTGAACTTTTTTAAAAAGCCGGGGCTTTGAGTTAAAAAATAAAAGAAAGCCGAAAAGAAGGTTATAGAATTCTGCTTGTCCAGTTCCTGTGGAAGCCCCTTTTTCTTTCATATTCTTGCGGTTGTATCTATGTGTGTACCAGTTTTATTCTTCAGGTGGGTCAGAAATCTGTATTATTGCTTCCTTTCAGAGTTTAATTTTAAAATGTTTTCATCTACTTCTCACTTATCAAGCCACACTTTAATTTTAGTTATTTCTGGTACTTTTCCTCCGGAAGAATGCCAGAGCGGTTGGGTTGTTGTATATTTTAAGATTCCTCACCCACTCTTGAAATGCATTTTGTTAAGCCAGGGTTTAGATCAACATGTTGACACTCTGTCTTCCCTTTAATTTTAATGGCCATAAAATCAAGACTACTTTGCCACTTAGTGGTCTTACAGACCTTGGATAACTATTTTCACACTTTGGTTTATGAGAAAATACAGCTATTTTGAATAACTCTTCTGAATATTGCCGTTCGGTAGCAGTATCTGCTGAACGCCAGCAAAGTTCATAACTGCTGTAACAAGTTTGGAAAGTTTTGCCATGTTACTGCAATCTTAAGTGGCAGACAAAGGTTATGAATTTTATTTTACATTTGTTTCATGTTGTTGACTATACGGAAATTGGTTTTAGTTGCTTCTGCTTTGTTAGTAAAAATAATGCTTTTATTGAAATAATTATTAGAAATCAGATCACTCTTTGCTGAAACCTGGTTACTTTTGTGGTTTTGATGTTTTGTAAGTGTTAAAAAATAAAATGCAAGAATAAACGAAACAAGACTGGATCAGAAGGGAGACAAACCATTAGAGACTCTTAATCTCATAAAACAAACTGAGGGTTCCTGGGGAGAGGTGGGTAGGGAGAGGGCGGTGGGGTTATGGACATTGGGGAAGGTATGTGCTATGGTGAGTGCTGTGAAGTGTGTAGACGTGGCGATTCACAGACCTGTACCCCTGGGGCTAATAATACATTACATATAATGTAATAAAATAAAAAAATAAAAAATTAAAAAAAAATAAAATGCAGTAGTAATGTACCTCATACACAGAGGGAGTAAAATTACTCCCTTTTGATCTGTGTCCTATCGAATGCAGCTTATTATCTCCTTTTGTAATTAAAAGCTATTTTAAAAGTGACTTGTGGCTGTTTGTGTTTACAGGATCGCCCCAGAACGTTTGATATGCACTCACTGGAGAGTTCACTCATTGACATTATGAGAGCTGAAAATGATTCCATTAAAGGTAATTTTAAAAATCTATTTGATTTTTAGTGAAGTAGATAAAATTTTGTATTATTTATATACTCTCACGAACAGTATGGCAAATATTATGGATTCATATTTTGTATGTAGTCAGTTCCATCAATTTTATACATGTACCTCTCATTAAAAACTCAGACATATTTGGTGGGCATCACTGTATGCCCATCACAATACCAATTAAGAGAACTACAAGAGTACTGATTGCTAAGGGTGGGCAGTTAACGGGAAAGACATGAACCGTATACCTCATTTTTTCAATATCTGAGGCAAAAAAGAATGCTCAGTGCCTCAAACCTCTATGTCTCTCCACCCGTGACAGTGACTATACACTCATGAGTTCAAATGTTGATAGAGTTTTGGTCCAGTTTCACATTTTTAAAAAAATGGCCAGTAGTTTCAAAGTTGAGATGAAGTTGTGTTCTTGAAATATTTTCTGTGGATCATGTTAAGAAAAAATAGTGCTATTTCTACTTGGATTCTGGTCTCAATTCTAATACTAACTAGCTGTGTTGAATAAGACATTTCATTTTGATTAGGCCTCAATTTCTTTCCTCTCTCTCTCTCTCTTTTTTTTTTTTTTTTTAAGATTTTACTTATTTATTTTGAGTGAGAGAGCGAGTACAGGTGAACACAAGTGCAGGGAGGGGCAGACAGAGAGGGAAAAGCAGACTCCATGCTGAGATCCCAGGACCCTGAGGTCACGACCTGGGCGGAAGGCAGCTGCTTAACCTACTGAGCCACCCAGGCCCCAAGGCCTCAGTTTCTGATCTTTATAATAAGGGACTTAGAATCACTGTTGCAGTAAGGGACTTACAATGGGGAGCTTTAAAAATAAAATATAGAGGGGCATCTTGGTGGCTCAGTGGGTTAAGCCTCTGCCTTGGGCTCGGGTCACGATCTCGGGGGTCCTAGGATGGAGCCCCGCATCAGGCTCTCTGCTCAGTGGGAAGCCTGTTTCACCCTCTCTCTCTGCCTGCCTCTCTGCCTACTTGTGATCTCTGTCTGTCAAATAAGTAAATAAAATCTTTAAAAAAAAATAAAATAAAATATAGATGCGTGGGTCGTATTCCAGGTGTGGGGTAGGGCTTGGCATGTTCGTTTTTAATGTCTCATGTGCTTGGGTAACCAGGATTGAGAATTACCAGAGG